GTGAAAGTAATTTCTCACAATGATAGCCTCCAATTCTATCCCAGTTGTTCACGTTATGTATTTATAAAGAAAGAAAAAAAGCCCAAACCAGAAAAAACCTCATAAATTCCAGTCTAATGAATCCCTAAGAATGAAAAATTGTTGCCTTTTGAACTAACAGTCCTACCTTACTTATGTTAATACCCACCTCCAGATTCTTAGAAATTCAGACATTCCAAGTCTATACAACACCTTTATTACGTAGGTTCAAGGTTTTTTACAGGGCAAACCTTCCTGAAGATTGGTGCTTCTATATAGATGTACTTTTGAGGTTTTCCCTTGTCTTGTTCTAAGTCTTGAACTTTATTTTATGCAGGGATAGAACTGCCTCGCATCAACTATGACTATAATGGCAAAAAATACAAATATGTCTTTGCCACAAAAGTCCAGTGGAGTCCAGTTCCTACAAAGGTATAATTAACATTTACAAAGTCAGTCTTTTCCCATTGGTGGGTCATTCACATGCAAAGAAACATGGAATTCCTAAATTCTTATAAGGATAAGTTCATATTGTACCATTTCCCTCATAAAGTATTCATAAGCTCAGGCTTCTTACTCCAGCTTTATATTTTGTGAAAGTATTTTGAATAGTTACAGAGACCCTCACTTTTCTGCTAAATTGGGCTGAACTTCCTGTGATGTGCCAGGAACAACAAAGGAGAGAGCAGGAAAAAGAAGTATTATTCATGTGTATATATTTAATATTTTAATATAATATGATGCCAGGAGACAGCCTGAAGTACAAATAGATTAAAATAAAAAGTATTTAGATTTAAATGTACAAGTATTATGACAAATTCACTCTCTACAGTTCTTGTTCTGTGACTACAAGGCACCACAAACTGAAGTCACTGTTGGTTCTTGCATAAAATTACCACAACTCATTACAAAATAAAGCTGGATTTCTGCATGATGCAAGAAAATTTATTGCAGCACATCTGACAATAACTCAAACAAATCTGCAAGTTCATGATTTACAGTTTAGATAATCTCTGTTTGACTCAAAGATAATAAAAAAAAGCTCGTAGGAGGATCTTTTTCACATCAGGTGCAGTTTAATGAATGCAAACACAACAACCTAATCCTTAGGTAAAGTCTGTCAGTGAAAGTGCTGTCATCTTGGCTAGAAGACAGAATTCTTTCTAATTCTCTCAAGTAATTTGAATAGTTTCACTTTTATATAAACGTATTTTTTGGCCAAGTATCAAAATGGAAAAGAATAGAACTTCATCTCTATGGGTAGAGAAAAAGCCTTAATGGAATTGGTACTGAAAATGCCAGGCATCCCCTCTGGCCATTGGTTTGGCCACTCAGTGGGATGAAAACCCACACTCTGTTCCTTCAGTAAACACCAGTATCTGCCTCACTGGTTTAATCTTTACACATCACTAGGAACATCCTTTCTTCTGGCATATGTACCCTACTGCAATAGAAGGCCGTGAGGAATATGGAAGTAGCAATAAAAGGAAAAAGAACTCACAGGATTAGAAAGTGGCAAGTTTAAATCCTGTTTTCGGCTTTACTACTGAATCTCAGTGAATTAGAACAAGTCTCTTAAATATTCAATATCTTGGACTCTCTGCAGTGAGGGGTCTTACTTACAGTGAAGGGTCTCTTGTGACCTGTTAGCATTTGAGAATAAACACCCGTAAATGAAAGGTGCATTTATAATCTAATGAAATGAAATTAAAAGAACATTGTGTGATTATGCAGCCATAAAATGTGACTCCAAAATTTAACATTTTCCAGGTGTTTTTTATTGTGATGATACCTGCCTTAACTCTTAGAATTGGTTCCCTCTGCCAGCAATCTGTTCATGTAGTACCTTTGAAAAAAGCCACTGTCAGGGTCTCTGACATTTTTCTTTTCTTGTCACAACCATTTAGATTGCAAAATTTAACACCCAGACAAAGGAAATGGTCCACTGGGGACAGGATGACTGCTGGCCATCCGAGCCTGTTTTTGTTCCCAGCCCTGATGCAAAAGAAGAGGATGATGGTAAAATAATGACAATGTTCTGAAAGCTGGGGTTACATGAGTTTTGTATTAAATCTTGCAAGTTTCAATATTCTTAGTCAAGAAAGTTGGGTTGATGCTTCCACTTTGAGATGGGGTTATCTTTTCTGCTTAGTGAAACTTTTATATGTTTCTAATTCCTCATTTGTATGTCACAGGGGTTGTTCTGACTTGTGTTGTGAAGACTGATCCAAAGGATCCACCCTTCCTACTTATCTTGGATGCTAAAACATTCACAGAGCTGGGTCGAGCCACAGTAAATGTGGAAATGCATATGGACCTGCATGGAATGTTTATACCACAGCAAGACAAGAAAACTGAGACTGAGTAAAATCTATTTGTTGTATTACACAGATGACATAACCTTCTACTGAATGTGAGATAATATCCTTCAGGAACAGCCTTTTCTTATGATAAGAAATGATATCTTAAGATAAGAATTATAATTATAACCTCCTCAATATCTACATATAATCTCTTAAAAGAGAGAGAAATTACTTTATTACAAATTATTGCATTCACAGCTGGTATATCACTATTCCAAAATAATAATTATCAATATGAAGTGCTAATGTTAAATTCAGCTTGTAGGGCAAGGAATAGGAGACAAAGGTAACAAGAAATATTTTATTTGAGGAGAACAAAGCTTTCTGAGCAAATGAAGTACTGTATTCATAGGGTGAGACATGACATGAGTCACACATGCCTGCAGGTCATGTAACTTCCATTGGCTGTTGCAAGACTGCAGCTGACAATGAGAGTTTTCTCCTGCCAGGAAACCTCATGTTAAACTATCTACCATGATACCAATAACTCATGGCAATGTATTCTCTTGGTGCTTGATTTCTTAAACTCTACCATAACCAAAGTATTATGCTGAGGTGCTACATTTTTCTTATCCAGTACCTTACCTTCCCCCCACCCCACTTTTCTAATAATTTCATGGTGTATTTTTTGCTTTTATGTTGACAAAACCAAGTAACTTTATTGAAATAGAGTACATGGTTATATGTAGCATTCAATTATACTTTAGTGACATTCAATCTTAAGCAGTTTGTATTTAAGTCTGTTTTCCTTGGGCAAGATATCTTCCATGGCATTTCATGTAATTAGATGATTACATTGTGTAAAAGATAAGAATTGTAGTATTTGCTATTGCCACTAGTTTCTGTTAATAGCAGTATGTATGTGAATGAGGGCAGTGTATTTCTAGCAAAACTCATACACACATGTGCAACAAATAGTTTAGGGAAAGAGTGGAAGATCTAATTTAGGCCTCATCTGAACCCCACAGTAGTTTAAACTAGAAGCAGTTATTGCCATAACTAAGCATTTGCCTTATGTTTGCTTAGGAGCATCCATGTTCTCACATGTGTTTATCCTTGCCTGTACCAGATGCTTCTTAATGAAAGTGCACAACTACTCACAGTCACAATTAAAAAGCACATTTCAACATAAAGTTCAAGTGCCAAGCACAGTGTGACTGGCTGTATTACAGAAATGGCATTTCTTACCCCCCTGAATATATTCCTGATTTGAGATATTGACTTTTCTTTAAATGAGACCTTTTTTGCTTTCAGTTGTATTTTCTCATTGTAGATTTCTTTGCTATTGGAGGCATCTTTACTGATGGAGAAAATCAGGTGCACATCCATCCATTCTGGGTGTTCATCTGGTCTGTCTCTATCACCACACAACTCAGGTACCTCTCACTTTGACACACACATTCCCTCAGTGCCTGTGCTGCTCACAGAGCTTCACAGGAAAGAAACAGGATGAAATTGTTGTCATTTACTACCTCCCCACCACATGAGAATCTGTGTTTGGTGACCTGTTTGTGATTACCTGATGTGTTTGTGGCACAGGAGCAGGAACTGAACCAACATCATCCATAGTTCCTGTCTGCTATGTAACAGCCAGACCTCTGTTCCTCTGCTTAAGTCTTTGCACTTTGTTAGGACATACAGGCTATTTTTAATGTGAAAAAACGCCAACACTGTGATCAGATCTAGTTAAAATATGCAGGTTTGGGCATTCAAATGTTTACATGTTCCATAAAATGGAAATAAACACTTCAGTAAGGTGTGTCTGCACAAATAGTCACTTTTAATGTTTTCAAGGTATATTAGCATTAGTATTTGATAGAACTTTATCTTCAAAAGAAAAAATTAATTCCATGTTTGTAAAGAATATGGAACCATTACTGGAAGAGAAGACTGACTCATGATATTGGCAAAAGACATCAGCTCTGGGTTGTTTCTTTTCATACGAAAATGTTTGGATTTAACAAATGTCCACAAGTACATTTCTAGAATTACAAGGTGGCAATGAATCTAACGTCTAACCATTGTTACAGATTTTCTTCTAAGAGTTTGTCTCCAGAATTTCTTCTGTAGTACTCACAGGGTTGTTTTTGGATGACAATGGGTTTGGATACAGGAGTTTCTTAACTTCTGAGGAGATAATTTTTAGTGGTAGAGATGACAGGATAAGGGATACATTCATCATAAAAACAACCTGTAGTCTAAGAAAGCAAATGTGTTATTTACATTAATGCAGAAATAATGCAGAGAACGAATGATAAGATCTTGTCTTGGGTATGATTTTTTAAATGAGATGTGCCATATTCCCTTGGTCAGTACTACACAGGATTTGATTAGCATTAAGTTTATAGTTAACCTAAGGAGAAAAACAGTGATGTAAATCCGCATTTGCTAATCCCAGTATCCTCCCGCAGCAGAGACAATAGAAATAAAGCCATACAGCTAATCACAAATTTGTTAGAGAATGTTTTTAGTGGCTGAAATAACAATCTGATGAAACATTTACCCTGAATATGGTAACACACTATCATTTCTAGGCTGACAGAAGCAAGGGGAAATGCAGATATGCTTTGCCAAGTGGCTGCAAGGCTCATAGGGTTTTTTTTGATGTGGTAACATGGCATGTGGTAATGTCATTTGGTTTGCTTCTGACACCCTTCACTGTGGATGAAATCTCAAGGGCCAGAAAGATTTGATTATTCCTTTGCACCAGTTTAAGTCATAAATTAGCCTGACAAAATTTATGGAATTATTATAATGATGGCTTAACACAAATCTAGATGTAGTGACTGCAAATAAAAAATGGTAAAGATAAGTATCTCCATTAAAGAAAAAACCATAGTTGAGTGAGAGAATCATGCCACGGGTATGCATACATATAATTAATTATTGCAGAGATGCTACAAATGGACCTTGATAGAATGGTTTGTTGCTGTTTTGGTTTGGGGTTGGTTTTGTTTGGTTTTTTTTTTTGTTAATCATTTCATTAAATTGAACAAATAACAAGGTATAACAATGAATTTGTTCTCTGGAACTGGATATTATCTGTTACACCTCGTCCCATTGCCCCACATAGGCTGCAGGAGGAAGCAAAACAGTGTTTACAAGGAGGTGTTAAAAACCAGAAATGTGACAATGTTTTCCTCTGTAACAACCTGTGCAGGTGGCAGGGAAATACACCGGTGTCTGTTCAATAACCAGGCCACTCAATGACAGCTTTTGCAATAATTTAAACCACTGCTCCCTTGGGTCTGCAATTACCTGACTATTAATGACAAGCAAAATACATCTTCCCCTGCAGCCAAGGAGCAGTGTGCTCTCTACCTTCATTACCCTCAAAGAGAGCTGAGAATGTGTCCTCTGGATCCTCAACCAGCACCTGACATCCTGGATAATTACAGCCAAGCAAGACAGAGTGGCCTTCTAATCTTTGTAAATGGCTATGTACGACAACAAGTGTTGCAGAGCCGCTGGTGTTTCCTGCACACTGCTGTGGGGTTGAGCCTCTGTCCTACTTCCTCTGCTTCTAAAACTCTTGTTCAGAGCTGCACAACAAACCTGCAGCACAGTGCTCCTCCCTGTGAGCCCTCTCCAGTCAGGGAGCACTTCAGCAAGGGTTCAGCTGTAAAGCCTGGCTCCAACAGGGCTGAGCACGCTCTTCACCTGGGTGCAGGGTTTGGACTGCTGGCTGATGTGTGAGGATGTCCCAGCTGCAGTCCCCATCTGCAGAACAAACCAGCATTGTGTCCAGCTTGGAAAGAACAAGGCTGCCTTTGTGAAGGCATTATTTTCTCCTCACTACAGGGTCACTTCCAGATACCCTAATTAATTTTCCAAGTAGGTAATTCTCTTACTTTTCCTTGTGCCTACACCCCTAACATTCACCTCCAGCTCATGTAAGGGAACAAATAAATAAATAAATTCTAAAAGGCCAGTTTTACAGGAGGATCAATTAGATTGGAAAAGACCTCTGTGATCATCGAGTCCAACCTGTGACCAAACACCACCGTGTCACCAAGGCCACGGCACCGAGTGCCACTTCCAGGCTTTTCCTTAAACATCTCCACGGATGGTGATTTCACCATTTCCCTGGGCAGCCCGTTCCGATGTCTGATTACCCTTTTTGGGAAGAAATTTCTCCCAATGTCCAACCTAAACCTCCCCTGGTGCAGCTTAGGGCTATTTCCTCTTGTCCTGTCGCTGGTTGCCAGGACAAGAGTGTGACTCCCCCCGCTGCTCCATCCTCCTGCCAGGGAGTCGTGGACAGCGAGCAGGTCCCCGCTGAGCCTCCTTTTCTCCAGGCTGAGCCCCTCCAGCTCCCTCCTGGTGCTCCAGCCCCTTCCCCAGCTCCGTTCCCTTCTCTGGACCTCCTTTAGTGACATTCCAAAGCCGTGAGGCGACAAAGCCGAGATTTCCGCGGGCCGTCCCCGCCCC